ACCCTTAGCCCCGGATGAAATTCCCAGAGCAGCCATCACAACACCGGTTGCCTTTTTCGAATTAATGCGTATGCCCTTTGGTCTTCGAAATACAGCCCAAACGTTTCAACGTTTCATGGACGAGGTTTTACGTGGCTTACCGTTTGTGTATGCCTAACTTGACGATGTTTTAGTCGCTAGCACCTCCCCAACTGAACATGCAGCTCATCTCAGAGCAGTGTTTGAACGTTTTTCCACTTACAACATACGTTTGAACATTGACAAATGCTTATTCGGTGTTACTAGCCTGGATTTTCTTGGTCACAACATTGACGCCACAGGTATTTCACTGCACTGAGTATCAGAAAAGTGTGATGAAAACTGGTGTAACACGTGTGTCGTACTTTATATGTCACTCACCACATTGACGCCACAGGTATTTCACTGCACTGAGTATCAGAAAAGTGTGATGAAAACTGGTGTAACACGTGTGTCGTACTTTTATATGTCACCGTAGTTAAGGGCATAATTCTCAGGCTGCTGGATGAGAACACTCAAATCTGCCGGGGATGCATAAATGCATATCGCATCGCCATTGCATTCTGGCTGAAGGAACTTGGCCCGAGCGCGCGCACAGCATGCAGCACAAGGCTCGTGTTACTCTGTGTGAATGCATGACGCGTGCAGCCCATCTCTCGCAGTAATGAAAAGCTGACGATGTGACCGGAACGAGGGTAGCCATCGCCTTTTTTAAGGCTTTCTGGTGTTGTATCCGTTCTACGAGTGACAGAGTGACAAAAACTGGTGTGCCTCAGGTTCGCAGAAACATTGATATAATGTCTAAATCCAGTATCAGGTAAGACTGAGATTATATGACCCGAATTCTCGTGAGGCAATTCAGTTAGGACGTAATGTTGAAACATCAGCCAATATTTTTGATATCGTAAATGGCTTTGGCGCTGATATTCGTCGATCACAACTGCATGGCGCACGCATCTTTTACTCTTGCGTGAATGACTCCGTGTGCCGCGTCGCCGAATTGTAGCACGCCGGAATTAAGTATACACCATTTCTGGCGAGCACGTCGTTCCGCACACTGCCGATTTTCACGCTTCTATGGGCAAACATTCATATTGTGTATGAATATTCCACTTATGGATGATATAGAAACGGATGTCGGCGTCGCAAGGCAACGGACCTTGGAATTTGCAATTTTCTCCTCTTTGAAATGCTCTCGGATACGCTGTGCAGCCTGCATCAGTCTGCTTCTTGAATAACGAGTTATCCAACCGGGACGTATAAAGGAGGTAACGCTTGCAGGGCCCCCCCCGGAAAGCTGCTAAAGAGATGTTTGCCGAGCCCAAGCCTATTGACTATGAAACTAGTCTGGGTACACTGTAGCCCTTTTCTCACATTGTGGTTGCCTACGGGGGAACCCGACACTTACTCGTGTTATGTTTGAAGAAGCTTGTGTTGGCAAGTTTTGCACAGTCGTCTGCTTTTCGTCCGTGCTTGTGGGAGGATTCCGAAGTTTTATTTCACAAAGGAAAGGACTTCCAGGAAAACAAGTTTCGCTTAAATTGAGATGAGATCTACTAAAAGAAGTTTGCTGCAAAGACCACACATGCGGACGTTCTGAGAAGGCGTGAAATTGACTTTGTGACTGGATTCGCAAGGTACATGGGAACTGTAAAGTGATAATGTTTAAGTGGGGAGAGACTCAAATGGGGCGGCTGACGGGACTACGAGAGGCAAAAAGCGGTGAAATCGCTTGATGTTCTTGCCTTTCTTGAGAGTTGTTGAATGAGTTTACATTGTACCCAAGACAATGAACAGTTTGACAGGAGACCAAGGGCCCTAGTGGAGTCTAAAGATCAAGGGAGGAAAGACTACACCATGGGAGACGTAAGTGAGCTAAATAACATAACTCGACCCCATGGCCAAGGAAAAGCAGCATTCTTTGGAGCAGTCAGTGAAGGAGACTGTTTGGTTGTTGGTCCGCAAAAGTGCCGATTGGATGGGTGTGTAGAAGAAAGCTTACCAACAATGGGCTCCCGTTCCCATCCCCATGTGAGAGTTACTCCCCATAATTATCCACCTTGACCAGATGAACTGAAGCCTTCTTGTTTCACTGAACTATTTTTATAACTCTTATGGACGTTGGACGGACATTGTGATTTTAGATGTTGCTCGCCGTAGATATCTGTTTGGTTGTGACGGTATCGATTTTGAGGCGAAGTGATCTGCGTTTATCCTCAGGCTGGTGATTCTGCCGCCCCACTTTGTAATCCTAAGGTGTCTGCAGAGGAGGCTCCGTTGAGGTTTGTTGAATATGTATATGATTATATTTGCAATAGTACCGTGATTCCAGAATTCGGATTTCTTTGTTTTTTTTCGTGGATTGGCACGCATGACTCAAACTTAAAAAGCAGATAGTCGTAACAGGGTGAACTAAGCATCTTACATTTTTCCTTAAATTCTCTGATGCGATTATGGAAGGTTTATTCCAGCCTAGTAATTCCTGTGAATTCAAAGTGCTGCCCATGCATCCACTCAATTTTGTTGAGTACACAGCCTAAGTAGCTGTTCTCAGTACTGCTGTTTGTTGACCACGCGGTTTGTGGCCGTCCACTAATACTTGTTCGTGCAGTGTCTGCCTGCATGCATCTGTCGCGTCCGACTCACAACTGGAGAAACACACGACAGGAAACCATCCCATCATTTTTCCCACTATCCACACGGGTGGCAAACACGT